ATATGATAAAAATACCAACTTTACTCATATACTTTACTCGATATTCCTTTATGATGGTTTTAAAAAGGCTATGTGTACGAAAGTGATCAAGATTAAGAAAAATTTCTGATATTGCCATATTTATTATTGTTATCATATTTTTAACGGGCCTTTGCAATAAAACTATATATTCACCTGATTAAGCACCATATGAATGCTGGCTATTCAGAAAACTCAAWCGACTGCTCCGAAGAACCAGTTTTGAGACAATCGCTATGAATCACATTGTAGGCTATTCCGGAAGTTGACTACTTCTTTGATTATTGGAAAAAACGTTTTCGCAATATAATATACAAAAATATTTTAGGAAAGTGGGACTACTTTGAGGGGGACAAAATAGATTTTGAAGAATAAGTTAAGAATTTTAAAATTATGAATAAAGTCTTAATATGTTATGATCCTGGTAGTATGCGCAGTGAAAAACAAAAAATTTAAATACGGTTTTCGTATTGCAAAGTTAGGTATCATTTACTGAGAAAACTTCTGGAAATATAGGAGTGAAAACATTTGGCTTGAAATTTACAGTATAAATTGGAGCTCAAAGTTAAAGAAGCAGGTGTGATAGTGATATCAAACTTAATTTAATATGTCTAATGTAAAAAAAAAAAAAAAAATCATAACCCTAAAATAATCGCTCAATAAGTTCGTAAGTTCAGACACGACATGAAGCAAAAGCAGCGGAWTATATGCGATTGGGTATTTAATAAAGCTTCAAGTTCAATTCTAAAGTAGCTCACAAAGCTTGAAACAGATATATATACTTACTTCCGGTAATACTGTTTTACGCTGGACATGTTTTGCTCTAAATAAAACTTGAGCGCACATCGCTGAAATTGAAAAACAGCAGCTTTACAGAGTAATTTCCAATTCTTCTCCTTTCTTTTCGATAAGCCTTCATTRATTATTAGTGCTGCTCCATGTTTTTATCCAAATATCTACGTATTTTCAAATATCTGCACAGGATGCATCAAATTATRGTACTATCTCAAAATTTCCATATATTTGCCGTGTATGAATCGTCGCCTATGCCTATGTAGCTATATCTGTCGTGGTAATAACCATTTTGGCATGGCTCACTCAAAACTCTTACGGCYCTCTGACTACAGTGCCGCTTCACTGCCTGCTTAAGCGCCATAAACTATGCTACACGTAACAGCTGGCTTGATGGCTGGCGACTGCCTTGAGGCGCTGCAACGGCCAAAGAATGCAAATGCATGTACGAAGGCGAACATTTAGCTGGCCGAAAAACGAATGGCTTAAGGCGCCGCTGAGGCTGTCCAATAGCGGCAGCAGGCAACAATATGGGCGGGGTGTGGGCGCGATTGGTGTGCYGTGCTGTCAAGGCGGGCCAGAAAGCGGCCCGGTAAGCAGGCGAGCGTGCGTGTA